GAAAATGGCTGATGCATTTGAAGAGGATGGTGAGAATACTGTTTCAATTGGAGAGTTTCTCCAAGATCTCGAAGAGCAGGAGCTGGTAATTCACTTTGCTAATTTTGATTTTTTTACTGTATTCTCAATTCAATTTGACTTGTTACGTTGCATTTCTATGTCTGTGTTTGTGGCTGTATGTTAGTAGAATTGAGGATGAATAGTAAATGGAATCATATGCAACTTCCGTTGGTTGTTAGAGTTTGAAGTCACGAAGACATTTATTCAATTATAAAATCCTGCAAAGAGCTTGGTAAAGTTGCTTCCATGTGGCTATGACGTCACAGGTGTGAGCTGTGGAAATGGTTTCTTACAGAAATGCAAAGTAAGGGTGCTTACAACAGCGGGAGCTTAGTGCATTGGTCTGCCCTTTATTTTCATAGTGAAATGTTATAGACAAGTGTGAGAGTAAGAGAACATCTAATTACCTTAATATACAAATAATTAAGTGATAGAATGAAATGCACTCGAGCCCCCTGGGTTTTGTTATGTGGTAAGAGCTTAGCTTGTGATGTGTGGTTACGTGCATATTTCAGGTTCAACTTCTGTTGCAGTCAAAGAATTGGTATATAAGTGAAGAAGGGTAGAGGGGAATGTTAATTATCCGCTGAGTTTCGAACAGTGAGTCATTGGCACTCAGATATTTCACTGTTAAAAGAAGAATGAAATATATCTGAATAGAGCAGAATATATAGATAATTTATGTAGTAAAAGCGAACTAATTTGGAAATGATACTTAATCGGCTGATTTTTTGATTGATAGTAATGCCCATCATCAGATGCTATTCTTCAATGTTAAGTCTTTTATAGTTTGATGTCTTCTATGTTAAACACTTTCTTATGTATGTTTAATTATTGCCAGCCCTTGAATTCCATCCTGATGAGAGTGTTCAGATGAACTCAATCAGTAGTTTGCGTGGAACACATCATATTGGCATGATGTCTTGGAGTTTACCTTTTCCGATGTTAGGCAAATAGCTTCTTTTGCATCGGCAACAGTGTTGATAGTGATATATTGTGCACTTTATGATGGTCATGTTCTTTCTTACTTTTTGACACCTTAGATCCATATTCCATATTAACCATAGAATATTAAGGCTTGAAGATGCGAATTGGGTTATTTTTCTTTCAGCTCCATAAATAGATGTTTAAGATAGGTACTACCGTACTGGGGTAAATATAAATTTTAATATGTTAATATTATCTTTAGCTAGGCATTACTGGTCTCAAGCTTGGTTTAAGTAAGAGGTTTTTGGTAAGTTTATGTCCAGTGTTGTGATTAATATTCTAAATATTGAAAACAAAGTAGAATGATACTGATAGTTCATATAGCTGGTGACTACTAGATTGAGTTTGAGGTGTAGATGTCTAGATGATGATGAATGTATAGGCAGGGGTCTTAGCTAATTATTCTATGCTTATGTCTGTGTAAGAGAGGTGAGAAATCCGATCTACATTCAAAGAGGTCTTTCTAGTTTCTTCAGACATCTGACGGTCGAGTTAATATCTTTGAACTTTCAGAGTTGCCTCTCTAGACCTACTGAAAAGTGAAAACTGGATAACAAGTTTGAGAAGATAAACATGGCATTTGGAGTTATGCTACATAGTGGATAGTCACCGTCAAATTCGAGTAGTGAATTGGATCTTTGAAACGATTGAAGAAGTTTGAATTAATATCGACATTTTTGTGTACGGGATGTTGAAATTAGTTATTTGAATTGCATATTAGTTTTCATTGTACTAGATTCATAGATTCTTGATCCCCACCCCCCCACCCCCACACCCAAATTGTGTCTTTACTCAAAGAGGCGTGTGCTTTAAGTTTTCATTTTGACCAGTGAGTTGATGTTTCAATTTGATCGTTTATTTTACTGTAGTATATGCTTTAATTTTTTTTTTCTAATTGGGATAAATCATTTGATTAGGAAGCAGATCTGGTCTTAGGTGGTGATGAAGGCAAGGAGTGCACCTATAGTAAAGGTTATATGAAGAGACAGGCTATTTTTTCTTGTTTGACATGCACACCAAATGGGAATGCTGGAGTATGCACAGCTTGTAGCCTTTCTTGCCATGATGGTCATGAGGTATTCATTGATCTAAGGACTTGCCTTTTTCCTTCATATAATTAATGATTAAGTTAATGATCTCAGGCTGCTGATGGTAAAATATTTCTGCTTATATACATAAAACCCAGGACTACCTGGGAAAATGAATACCCATGTCACCATTCTGTCTTTTGAAGTGTAAAGAATAAAGATTTCTTGTCGAATGTCAGCAGTTTATGATTTCTGCATGTATATATGGGTGGTTGCCAGTGTACTCCAGTGGATGTGCTATACTCTAATGTTCTCTTTGATTAATCCAACTTGCTGCTTGGTTTTTCATCACTCTAGCATAAGTAGATTGGTAAACTAAAACTGAAATGTTTTTGAAGTTAAACTTAGGTTTTCATTTTCAAAGATGAACTGCATGGCAATGCTGATATTTTTGCATGTCTGGGTTCCCACAAGTGGTATTTTTGTGAAACCATGACTCTAATGTGTTTAAGAATGTTATCAAAAAAAAAAAACGTGTTTAAGAATGTTATCTAGTACAGTAGCATGACTTTTTCAAAATGAGTACTATGGTGCTCTTTCATGTTTTTCTTCTTTGTGGTTATAATTTAAATATCTTACTTCTTACATTGAGATATATTGATCTTGTTTTTTTTTTAAATTTTGGATGCTGATTGAACAAGATTTTGGAACTTTGGACGAAGAGAAACTTCAGGTGTGACTGTGGAAATTCAAAGTTTGGGGAGTTCTTCTGCAAGCTCGATGCTAGCAAAGATGTTGAAAACACGAAGAATTCATATAATCACAATTTCAAAGGTTCATACTGCACATGTGGCCGGCCATATCCTGATCCTGATGTTGAAGACCAATTGGAGAATCTCCAATGCTGCATCTGTGAGGACTGGTTTCATGAGGAGCATCTTGGTCTTGAGTCCTCTGATATGGTTGGTAACTCTTGTTTCTTCTTGCTTAATTTCTGCTGATCATCTTCAATTCCCTTACATTTTGTGTGAGATAACTTGATGATTTATGAAGTTTCAAGGAATTAGTTTGAGATATTTCAGGGATCGTAGCTTCTGAAAATTGTTGTGTTCATTCATGTTGTTCCTTGATTCTTGTCCATCATGAAGGATATATACCCCTTCAGTCATGAGATCACATATTTCCCTGTAATGAATGCATTACTTGTTCCCTGATCTGTGAGTTGGTTGTAATTACCTCTTATGACTCATTAAATAAAAAAGCTAATCCTTAGTCTTTTTACAGGTTCCGAGGGATGACAAAGGGGAGCCTCAATTTGAGGATTTAATCTGCCAGGGGTGTGCAACTGTATGTTCTTTTTTAAAGCTATATCCTGATTCTATCTTTGCACCAGTCCAGCAGCAGACTACTACAAATGCCTCTGAGGACAAGGAGGTGGTTGAAGATGCACCCTTGACTGTGGGATCTTCTAAGGAGCTTAGCAATGGAAGTTCCTCAGTTGAGATTCCTGTAACCGATAATAGTCCTAAAGAAGACTGCAACGGAAAGGCTGTTCTTGGAGAATATGCTGCAACAAACACACTCCTTAATCAGTGTAACACAGTTGCTGGTCCTAGTACCAAATGTGTTGTTGGACTGAATTTGTTAGAAGCTCCAATTAGCCTTGAGAAAAGTAAGTCAATGTTCCTTTCCAAAGACTGGAGAGAAGTCCTCTGTAGGTGTCCAAATTGCATAGAATTCTACAAACAGAAAGGTCTTGTCTTCTTACTTGATAAAGAGGATACCATTGCTGAATATGAGCAAATGGCAAAGCAGAAGAGAGCTCAACATGAGCAAGACCAGAGTGCTGAGTTGCTTAATAATCTGGGCCATGTCGAGAAAATGGAGGTTCTAACTGGTATCGCTGACCTTAAAGACGAGATTGGTACCTACCTGGTATATCCCTCATCCCAAACTGCTACTGTTTAACTGATATTTCTCATTTTCTCAGGATATAGCGCTTGAGCATTCTTTTACCTTTCTATTTCCTTGGCAGGCATCCTTCGATCCATCAAAGGCAGTTACATCTGCTGATGTTCATAGGATTTTTGAGAATCTTGCCCAGAAGCGTAGGCGTATGTCTTGAGTTATCTTGAATGTTCAAGAAAGTAGCTCTGCAGCTACACATCTAGTGTAGTTAGTTTTGCTGCTCAACGCTAAAACACGCAGTAGTTTAACTGTTCTATTTACATGGAGAATTCGTAATGTTGCTTTTCTACTATCTAACTTCAGCTTATCGTGTTGTGTTAGCTACAGTGAGACAATGCGATCATGTTACTGTTAAGTTCAAAAAACTCCTTTGTGTTAGAAAGTATTTATCGGATCAAAATTTTATGTAACTCTTATTCCGCGTTGCAAATGTGCATTGTTGAAGGTAGTGATAATGAAACAGAAAGGAATGTAGTGTTGTGCAAATTAGTTTGAGATTGAGACGTAGTTTTTGTTGTTTTACCAAATGAATAATGATAAACCTTGTGTTTGCAAATAAATCAGATCATGTTTTATACTGGAAATATATAAAGTTACTGCTACAACAAATACATGAAGCATCTAATCAGAGTTTATGCCAAAATAATCACTTCTTTCTTGATTAAACTTTTTATTAAATATTTAACGAATATTAAAAGGGCTTACTTTTGAAAAAGTTAAAAGGATCAAAACGGTTCAAAGCAATACTTTAGAGACTTTTTTGACTTGATTCAAAACATAAGATACCATTTTTATCATTTTCTCATCTTTCTTTCACTAACACTCCCTCTTAGCTGAGATTTGTCTCGTTTGATGGTCGCCGGCGAAGCTGTTCGTCGACGTTCGGTAAAACTGTCAGTTCTTTTTGTTGTTTCTAACTGTGTATTTATCTTTGTTAATCTATTTTGCTTATATCTCGTGTTCGAAAGCTTAGAACTGTAACTACGCCAAAGTGAAAGAAGACTAATTCCTGTTTGGCCATAGATTTGATGTTGATACTTGAAATTTGAATTTTTGAAGTTATGATTTCTGGAATTTGAAGCTGTGTTTGGACATTGGACGTGCATTTTACTCCGATTTTTGAGGTTTTGTGATTGGAAGTCCCAAAAACTATTTGAAGATCAAATTTTGAAAATCTGATCAAAATTCATGATCAAACGGATATTTGAAGTAAACGGTGAAGCCAATTGACTATTTCTGTAAAAGTGATAAACTGAAATTCCTGCCAAAACTCTCTTTACAAATATGTCTGATTGGTCGGACCTTCAACAGGATCTACTGGTTCTAATAGTTAGACGTATAAATTTGATTGAAGACTTCCTAAATTTTGGCATTGTATGCAAATCCTGGCGTTCTGTGGTCACCAAGGAGAATTTTAACAGTAACTTGTGTAGGGTTCCATGGCTAATGTTAGCTGAGGAAGAGGATGATAAAACATGTAGGAAATTCTTTAGTCTCTATAATGGCCTGATTTTGAAGAAGAGAATTCCTAAAGCAAGTGGAAAACGATGTATGGAGTCTTTGGGATGGCTTATCACAGTTGGAAAAGATGAGGGTGAAATTAGTCTGTTACATCCCTTCTCGGGTGTTCAAATTCAATTGCCGCATCAAATTACCACCGACCATTATGAATTCAACCAGACTCCTGTTCCATGGACCTTTGTCCAGAAAGCAATTCTGTCAGCCAATCCTTCTCATACATCTGACTATGTTCTCATGATCATTGAGGGACACTACCAGTTCCTCAGTTTTTGGAGACCAGGAGATTTTTTATGGACCAGGATTAAGAAACCGGTCTATTTCCTACATAATAGTGATGTGGTATATTTCAACGGCCACTTTTATGCAGTCAGTTATAGTGGCTGCGTCCAAGTTTGTGATGTCGTTGACTCTGAACCCACTAAAAGTCTTACCGTAGCACAGCTACCATCATGCATTGATGGTAAGTATTACATCCTAGAATCACTAGGATCATTATTTGTAGTTTCACAAAATGGTGTTGATATAAGGTACGTCAAAGATGATCGCGAAAGAGTTCCAACATATGAAGATGAGGAGGAGGAGGAGGAGAAGATGTACATGTATAAGACAAGAAATTTTCAAGTTTTCCAGATCGATTTAGATGCTTGCAAAACTATGCCAACCAGGGATTTAGGGGACCAAGCTTTTTTTCTGGGTGCTAATGCTTCTCTTTCAGTCCAAGCTTCTCAATTTCCGGGAATCAAGCCCAATCATATTTATTTTACAGACAACTGTTTGGGTGCCTACCTCCACTTTGAAGAAGGAGGTGGCTTGGATATGGGGGTGTTCAACTTAGCAGATGGCAGTATCCAGCCGCATTATGCTGGTGTTTCCCTCAGTCGTGTTTGTCCTCCAATTTGGGTCACACCAAATCCATGTTGAGTGAGTCATTTTTCTATATTTACTCTTTATGTTGTTCTATATGTTCTTGTTTTACCGAGGAAGTCGATTTTAAAGAGTATTTACAACATGCCATTTACCTTAAGACTTGGCTGATGCATCTTTGTCATTTTCATATAATTGGACAAAGGTACTCCCCATTAGTTGTTATACTACCTTGCTTCAAGGCATGTTGTGTTGGAATGTGCTACTGCCTTCTAATCTTCACTACATCAGTATTGTCTAATCTTAGTGGAAACTTGCCCATAATCTAATAATATTGAGGCGCAATCTGAGATTGATATACTAATCGAAAAGAAAGAGGTTTTAAGATTCTTCTATTACTCTGATTCAGTAAACTGTTTCTTAAAGTTGTCTATTCAAGGGTTGAAATGAGTTTCACACAGAAAGAATTAATATATGTTTGAGATGCTTCAACATACTGTCATTCTGCATGTACTCGTTAGTCGTTAACCTCTCTTGCCTGAAACAATAGAAGCAACAAGGCAATATTTGAGATTCTTCATTTTGATGTATCCTCTACTTGAAGTCATTCTTTTAAAATGCCCAACCCTTATTCCTAGTGACCGATGTTGCATTAACTTTCACCTTGTAAGCACTTCTATGTCTTTCCTTCTTGACCAATTTAGCTGGAGCCTAAAGTACCTTTTTCGAATCTCACTTTTTTGGACAAGAGGACTTTAAATAAGTCGATGAGTGCATTGCGCTTTCTGGAGATGTTATTGAATACTCTCATCTGGACTTACTAGCAGAGACAATGGTGACGTTTTTGAACATTTTCTGCTTATACTCTTTTGTTGGTGCACCATTGCTCTTTTTCTCGTTGTTGCACTTGTTACTGTTTAACGGGTATCTAAACAAATATTGGGTGAACGATATCCTTGTTATCCCTCATCACTTACAATTACTCTTTAACAAGAACTGGTATGTCTCGTTTATTCTGGATATAGCTTTTGGCTGTTTATTTACCGCGACATTTCCTTGACAGGTATCCATTGATCCATCGAAGATATTCAGATGATTTTTGAGAATCTTGCCCAGAAGCCCGTGCATATGACTCAAAGTTATTTTGGATGTTCAAAAAAGTAGCTTTGCAGCTACACATCTAAAGCATGTAGTATTTTAACTGCTTGTTAATGTGGCTCTACTACTATCCAACTTTAGCTTATTGTGTAAAACACACGAGGGTGAGGGTCTTTCGGAAACCGCCTCTTTACCTCTACGAGGTAGGATAAGGTCTGCATACACTTTATCATCCCCAGACTCCACCTGTGGAATTACAATGTAGTGGTGGTGTTAAAATGCACAGGGTCGTTATCGAGCTAGACGATAGTAGTCTTTTTTACTCTTTGGAGTGGGTATTAGAGTTCCCTATTGCTCTTACAAAGTTATTGTTGCTCATTTACTTGGAATGAATTCTTTAAGGCTGCCACAATGCTAATGTGACACCTAAAATAGTTCATTGCTGATATTATTTATTTAAATGAACTGTTGATTTTGACTCTCGAAATCTAAGTTATGTTATATAAATCGAGGTGGAAAGAGTATTACTTATGAACATCTTGACGTCATACGTGACAAATAATTTCCCCCAAACACTAAAAAAGGCAGAAAACTATTGGTTCTTGAACGACGATTCTCATAAAAAGATGTTAAAGAAATTAAATTTAAACATTATATTATATTTTAAAGGATATTTTAATCATGTTATAATTATTTCTATTAATATAATAATAATATGTAGACTAACAAAATTGTTACTAAGAAATTCAAATAAAAGAGGTAGCCCACTAAGTGTAATATTATAAACCATTTTTTTTATTTTCGTATAAAATATTTTTCACAAAAATAATTTTGTTTGTACCAAATACACCTTTTAATCTCGAATTAATACAAAAAATGCTTTAGTGATTTAAACTCATAATTTTAAAATTGAAAATGAAGTGAGTTTATGTATCAAAATACCTAAGATTTTGTTTGACCCTTTTCTCCTCCATCTTGAATTCCTTCTGCGATAATTCACAAATCACCAAAATAAATAAATAAATTTTATTTAGTAAGTTTAATATGACTAGCTTAATTAAAAAGAGATTAAGGAAAAAAACAATCAATCTCGACCTTGTGTTTTTGTTACACCAACTCAACCGTAATTCTCATTTGCAATTTATTGCTTATGATTTTAATTTCTGAAAATTTCATAATCTGTTCTTTCTGAAAAGGGCATCTTCTTGAAGTGAGTGAAGCTAGTGAATGCTCTCTGTGTGTGTATATCAAGAAGGAACAGGTTCTTTGTATTGTTGATATCAAAATCATGAGTAATCTTAAATCTTCAAGCTCTGAATTGGACTTTGATCGACCCAATCTTGAAGATTATCTTCCTACTGGATCCATTCAAGAACCCCATGGAAAGCTTCGATTGTAATCCCCTTTTCTCCCCCTTCTTCTTTTGGTGCTTTAAATGTTCCAAAGTTTTGATTTTTATGTAACCCCTTTTGGTTTAATTTGTGTTTTCAGGCGTGATTTGCTCGATATATCTCCCACCTTAACCGAGGCTGCTGGTGCAATTATTGACGTGAGTGAAAATTTCTGTTATTGAATTTCAATCTTACATCGACCCATGACTGTAAATTTACTGATTGTTGCATTTCCATAAACAATTGAGCTTTACTTCCAAGTGGGGTTTGAGGAGGGTAGGATGTAGGCTGAGCTTACGGGTACCTTTTCTGGAGTTGAGAGGTTGTTTTGATAGACTCTTGGATGAAAAAGGGATGTTATGAAAGCAGGCTTCAAATTTACTGATTGTTGCACTTCCATAAACAATTGACCTTTACTTACAGGTGGGGTTTGGGGATGGTACGATGTACGCTGAGCTTACCCGTATCTTTTTGGGGCAGAGGGGTTGTTTTCGGTGGACTCTTTACTGAAAAGGGATGTTATGAAAGCAGGATTTCAAGAAAAATGTAACAACCAAATAGGAAGGTACAAAGCAAATGATGCAACAAACAGTACTAGTCATAGAAGAATAGGAAACTATGCAATTAATAAATAGTACCTCACATAGCAAGATACAAAGCAAAGGGGGGGAGGATGTACACATTGGGTCTGGGAGGGAGGATGTACGCAGAGCTAACCCCTACCTTTCTGAGGGTAGAGAGGCTATTTTCGATAGATCCATTGGCTGATTAGGAATGATATTGAAGCAGGGTTTCAAGAAAAATGCAACAACCAAATAGGAAGGTACAAAGCAAATGATGCAACAAATAATACTACACATAGAAGAGTAGGAAGCTATGCAATTACTAATTAGTACCACATATAGCAATATACAAAGCAAATGAGGCAACAATTGCCCTCTAGATTTTTCCAAGACTTGGTTTTGGACTGCTCTTATAGTTTGAGAAAGTTTTAGATAGGCCACTATTATTATTATGTATGTGTTGAAAAGAAGTAGTTTGGATCTCAACCTAATAATTCAGGAAATCCCATTTGTATATTTCAGCATATCTTTCTCATCATAATTTTCCTAGAGGTAATTTTCCCCCCTTCTATTAAGTGATATAATCACATCGAGGTTTTAGGAAATGAAAGGATTTATCATTATAAAAAAAAGGAAATGAAAGGAGTTAAAGTTACCTAAGAAAAAATATTCCAATTTCATGCATGTGTCTGAGTATTCAACTTAAAGCTGTAGTCTTAAAAGAACATAAAGGAGAAGGACTGGGTTAGCGATATACTAGACATTCAACTCGGATGTCACTTTTGCTCTGTCAACTGCCCATTTGCTTATTTTCTGACGCGTGCCAATTGATTTATTATTTAACCACCTTGACTGCAAAGTTGCCAATTCTTGCACTACCAAAAAACAATTTGACCTCTACTTCTTTTGGATTTTGTCAAAAGTTTTATTTGAAGCTTGGCCTTTCAGTTTCATGAAGTTTAATTATCCATTTTCATTTGCGTATATCCATTCGTTTTTTGCAGGATTCTTTCACCCGATGCTTCAAGTCAAATCCACCAGAACCTTGGAACTGGAACATCTATTTGTTTCCTTTATGGTGCTTAGGGGTTGTTGTTAGATATGGAATTCTTTTTCCTATAAGGTTTAGTCTCTTTCAGTTCTTTTATTTTTCTCATTTGAGTCCTAATCATGAACTAATTTTAGTCACCTATTGCAATAGCTTTTCACTACCCCATTGAAAGCTCACTCTTTTCATCCTTTGTTTCTAATTCAATTGCAGAGTCATTGTCTTGACAATAGGATGGATAATATTTCTGTCTTGCTATATCCCGGTGCATTTACTTCTGAAAGGGCACGATAAGTTCAGGAAAAAGCTAGAGGTATCTCTCTTGCTACCCAGTTTACTTAAATTTTCTCTTCTATTATTTTTAGTTGAGGACTGCACTTTGGTTGGCATTTGCTCACAATATATATATGATAACGTTTATCTTTATCCTTGGCCTTACTGTGGAGAAAATTATATTCATCTTATAAGGAATTTGTGAGTCACACATTAAGAGAAACATCACTCGCTTAATGGAAAGGAACTCCATAGCTTAAGAAAATTTTCTTTGGTAATTAGCTAATATGCCTGTGCTGAACTAGGCGTATAAAGAACTGCATGCTCAAAGAAATATGGTTAAGAAAAACATCACCCGCTTAGCGGAAAGGAACTCCATAGATTAAGAAAAATTTCTTTGGTAATTAGCCAATAAGCCTGTGCTGAACTGGGCCTAGAAAATGAACTGCATGCTCAAAGAAATATGTTTAAGCTAACCAGAGAGTCCATCAGCTGCAATGTTCAGCATTCTGTCTGGTGAAATACTGAACAATTGGGTTCAAACAAGAGCAGGCACACTACTGTATGAGGAAACCAAGTTTAGTTCATAAGACTTTGGCAAATTATGGCAGATATTGATACGGAAACTGGTTTTGAAGAGAGCTTTGTATATATATGCTTGTTTGTACAATTTGTTAAAGCTGCTTTATTTACACTATGCTACTTGTTAAGATGATGGAAAGACTAGTTCTTTTAACTTGGCATGCACATAGAAATTACTGAAACTTGAGCAATATGATTTCCCGAGAAATAGGAATATGTTCCAAAACAAACAATTGAAGCAAGCATGGGATTTCACTGTATGAACAGAAATTACTCTAGCTGCAAACATTACGAAATGCAATTAGCTATGGAAATGGAACACTTCATTATGTTGATTAGCTTTGGAAATTACTTATTGTGTCTGGACCAGGTTTCTGCAACATCTG